GTTATCCTGCGCGCCGTTATATGGTAATACTGTTTTGCCTTATCTCTCATGTTTGCTTGTTGACCCAGCGAAAGTCAAACACATGCTGCATGAGCGCTTGTTGGAGTAACGGTTCTGCTTTTTTCCCACTTTTCTACCCAAGCAAGTATATTGATATTATCATCCAAGGGTTCGCAGTGGTGGTGTAAATATTGAAAAGGAACCCATTAGGGTTCATAAAGGTTATTTTGACTTGACTTGAAACCTACAACGTGGGTTTCGTCATATATGGTAATCAAGTTGGTTGCGTGCAGTGGAGCTAGTGGGTAGCTCAGGGCCATTTGCGCCCATGTTCCGCGGGAGTTGTTCCGAAATGCTCGCTGACAGCCTTCCTTCAGTTCGGCCAATGTACTTACGATAGCAATTACAGTTAAATAGATAGCTTCGTGAAGCGGTAACTTGAGAGTCCGGTCCGGTCAGGTTGGATTCGCTTAGCAGCCTTCAGACTTGATGCAATGTCACTAGCTACGCCTCGTTATATCAGTTTTTAATAGCTTGACAAAGACAATGCTGGCGTCTTCTGTCTGCTTTGTCTCTTTAGACGGGAGTGGAATAAATCCATTTTCCTTTGGAACATCTCTTGATGGCTTATCTTTCATCCATAATGTCGTGTACCGTCTCTAAGTCTTTCGCGGTATCCATTCTCTTGTTGTTTCAAAGTGACAAGTTCTAGTTCACATTCGAAATCTCTGGAAAGCAAAGTTGACGAGCTCTAGAAAAGGCCTTATGCCATAAGGCTTGTTTGTAGTTCATAGGGCAGAACCAATCAAAGTTCAGGTATTGTCCTGTCCGTGTTGGTTTTCTGCACACAGACCGGACGAGCATACCATCTGGCTTTTTTGTAGGTTGACACAAGAAATGGAGGGATTCATCGGATTCGTTTTCTCTCGTGAACTTGATCGCGGGCTAACACATGTTCATCATTTCCAGTAGGTATGTAGCCTGCTGAGGAGTGTCAACGACGAGGAATATGTCGTTCATATACCGGGCATATAAGTGAAAATGCTGTATACAAGAAAGCGATACAGTGACTTCCGACTGACCCATAGAGATATGCCTAAACTCACGTGGGAGGTTTAAAGTAATAAACCGAAAATTAGTTCCTGCCTAATTGAGGTCAAGCAGGCCCCGGCGATTCGGCGGTTGGAACCAAGTTTTACAAACGAACAGAGTATTTGACCAGCTTCGCCCTACCCTGGTTCGGCTAGTGATCATTTTTCGTCGGAATGGGTCACGTGAACTCATTGCCTTTCGACCGTTTTAAATATTATTGATTACATCGCATTTTGGTTGTCCTTTTCTATGCACCTGCTTTACCCATCCCTAAATCAAGTAAACAGCTGAGCAGAATGCACCGATTAATGGAATTTAGTATGTCTTGTTGAACTGTGAATTCTTCTTTCTATACTGCTAAATCGAATACTTAGTATTTTCGTAGGAGTAACTCAGTGAGGATTATTATACGAATTAGGGTTCATTGGGGAAATTTCCAGTTTTATTTGACCCACCAATCTATTCACATAAACAATATTACCTTGCTTCTCACAGCTGCATTATGTAGAAGGCTGGTGAGAATATAAGTTGGTTAGCCTGATTTTTATTTCGTCTGGAACCTACACTGATTCCGAAAACACGTTGTCCAGACATTTTTTAAAGCTTAACTTAGGAGCAGATCAGAGGTAATTTGGAATACCGTTTTACGTTCATGATATGTGAATGGAGATAGTTTTGTCGGAAATCGAGTGTTTGTAGTTAATTTCAAGTTTGAGGTTTCGACCTATCAGGTTACTTCTGTTTACGAAGTTGCAACAGGTGATGACAAGCGTGATTGGGGTTTTCTATTAACTGGTACATATTTATATGATCTAGCAAACGCAGATATTTACCGTTGTACAATGAAAAGGATTGTATTTCGCTTTGCTAAGGGATGTGAAACGTTCCGTTAACGAATTTGCTCCTATTACGTTGTCCTGTTTGCACCAGTGAGGTTTTGTTCGCGTATTCAATATAAGTACTCATGTAGGCGTTCGGCAGTTGTGGAAACATATATGGCTGGAATTTCCTCAGCGAACTCACAGAATGCCCAGTTGCATAGATGTATTTGCAATTCGCTTCGAGCAGCCAGGTTTCTTCCCGTACGATTAATCCTGGGTCACTTGTCAATGAAGCATGTTACAACTGGTGTTCTCCGTGTTTATATTCGTGAGTAATCTAGTGGTACATGCTCAGAAACTTACATTTCGCAAGTTGAACAGGAGTTACTTTTTGGCTGACAACTATAGGTCCTGTCGATATCTCTTTGCATTGATACGCGTTCGTCCTCCATCTTGATGTCATGACAGATTTTGTCATTGCCTACCAGTGGCAAATAGTCCTACTCACGTAAACTAGTTAGGTCGTGATGATGACTAGGCATTTACGTGGTGCCAGTACCAATCCTTGGGACACGCCAAACTGGACTTCAGGCGGGTCGGAAATGGAGATACTTAGTGTCATATTCAGCTGACGTTGAATCAAAAGATACTCATGTAAGCAGCCAAGGGTCCCGATTCAATAGCTTTGAAGCATTTAAAGGAAAATGCGTTGGTCCAGGTTATCGAAAACCTATGAGAAGTTCAAGTTGAGGACATTGAGACCTACGCCGGTTTTAACTGATTTCTTCCAACCTGCTAGCGCTAGCAGCGCGTGTGTAGTACATGACCGATTGCGCAGAATTCGTGCTACTGTGATAAAACCATGTTGTTACTCTCAAGATCTTCCCTGAGCGCCAGCGATATACTATCTTCCATAACGATGGATAGTACCATGAAGGGAGTGACTGGACGGTAGTTCTAGGGCAAGGCACGATTAGCACTCTTGGAAACAGGAGGGACTATACCATGTTACCACAATGTGTGAACCTGCACGTCATCAAATCATCGCTGAGAGGACCGAGCTAACGACACAGGGATGCTCATGGAGGCTAACTGTAATGCCCTCAGTTTCATGGTGTCTACTTCAGGAGAGATGTGAAAGCGTAAAGAATCTAGTCTTTTATCACGCTTGCTGCAGCGATCGATAGTGGATTAAATCTGGTTGCGAGGTAGGTTGTGTCAAAAAATGTTAACTTTAGAAGTCACCTCGGGAGGTGCGGATAAATTGGTGAAGCGCGTTTGCGTCACTTAATGTAGTTGGTGCCGGACCGTTTGGGGCACCTGGAACTGGGGTTCCGCCATGCACTGCGCAGCTTGGTGACATACTTGTACAGCATTTTGTGCTTATTACTAGGTTCTATCGGCAAGTCTTGTTCTTGTTAGGGCTTTCCTTGCGGACAAACTTGACACAGCGATGTTTCGATCCATGTAGGCATCACGGAAGTGTACACTCAAATAAGCGTATAATAGCGCAAGATTGAATCTCTTCAGGGTCATATAGTTTCGAGCGTGGGCGTCTCATGAAGGATGGTATTTGGTTCCTGTGAATGCCTTTTTTCTGAGATGGATAATACTACTCTTGTGAAGGTGCTGTTAAACTCATCTCGAGTGACTTCAAGGGGCTGCGCAGCTAGGAACAACCAATAGCTTTATTGAACAATGTCGGACTTTACATCATAATGGGTAATAATGTGGGCTTCCTCATTGTTTTTACAGATGTATTCGGCGTAGCGGGTTTGACGGAAAAGCAGCGTCGCAATATCACTATGGCCAGGCGTTGCACCTGTGGTTACCGTAACGATCATTGGTTCCTCGTTGGTGAGCTCGGTAAAACTAGATGGTTTATTACTCATTCTGAATAGCGTGGGTGAGCTAATGTGCTTTTATAGAGGTACATCGGCGATTGCCTCTTGAAAGTTGGCTTTAGATTGTTCGCTCAGGTAATCTAGGATTTCAACTATATGAAGGTTAAATCCCCCCGCCTGATGGACTTGACTATTTGACACTGCCAGGACTGGCATCATAGGAAAGATACACCTTGATTTAGTTCTAGGATGAACATTGGAAAGCAAGCAACCAATGTTAACAAGCCCGAAGCATTACACCTCAGCTGCAGACGGTACCAAAAAGAATCCAACAATTGAGTAGCTGGATCTTAGATACTATGGATATATTGGTCAGATCGGTAACACAAGGGTACTACACCTTCTCCGTGGGGCCGATCACTTCGTAGGAGATTCATACCGGGCAGGGTTATCACGGCATCTGTGATATCCCTATTCATAGTGTCAAGGCGTAGAAGCTTGCCGAGAAAGAAGCTGAGTTATGTTAATTAGAGGAACCTGCGCGCTGATATAAAGCAGAGCTTTACAGAGTTACGATGAAAGGTACAGTAAAGGGGAGTACCAACAATAATGGAGCACAGCAACCCTGTTGCAGCATACAAAGGTTGACAATACATTTATTCAATCTATTTATATAGGTGGTCCAAAACGGAGGCGTCCTACTAGATTATGTAGAAATATTGGAGCGATTTTCGTGGACTTGGTGTGATCAAAAGATACACTCGTCTAACACTAAGATGTGTAAATACAAGGTGTATACTTCGTGTACAATAAGGTTTATAAATGAATAGAACAAGAACGAAATAATGTCTGACTTATCTGTGGCTCGCTGGGTAAACCGTTAAGAAAAGCTTGTGTTTCGAAACATGGTTGCACCACAAAGAGGGTCTTGATAGTGGCGTGGACTAACTCTGCTTGTGCATATGTGTATAAGAAAAAACGCGCGCGTAAATGCATGAATGATTTTAATTTTACAGTCGGTTCATTGGATTTTGAGAGTTCGTCGTCGGTATGCTAATTGATATCAGCTTATGTGACCAAAACCTATACTCCATAGATTGAATAGCAGTTTCAACGATCTGCGTCGACCAAAATGGCTAGGCCACAACAGAACTATGGTTATTTTAGTTCGGCCGTCAAGAAGGCTTTTATATTTATATAGATTGAAATAATGTCTCTGTATATCTTCATTCTTCCTTTTTAGCATTCATTCGAAGGAGGCACCCGCAGTTGAAAACTGGTTCCATCAACCTATGTATGACGGATGTTTGTGTGCAAGCACGGCGCGTAGCGAACAACCAACGGACTCGACAACACCCTTTAAGGCTGGTCACCCAACCTTCGTCGGAAATCACACCAAGCCACATATCCGAGATGGAGATGGCCAGTCACGAATCCGTTAGCATTCTTGGATTAAAAAGTAGATCGCTTTCATGCAAAAGACCTGCGAGTGTAAGTCGTCAAGAGAACAATGCAGTTGATTTGGTCGAAGGTAACAAACTAGTGGCGTCGCAGGACGAACTTGGGTCAGTGAACTGGACGTTCCTCCACGGTCAGTTGGGAAGGCCAGAGGAACAGAGCCACTGCTGGGCTTTACCGATTTCCAACGAGTGCCCACAATTTCGTACGGATGAACAGTTCAGTGACACTATTTTGGATTCCAGGATCAACCAATTTTCCAGCTCTTCACAAGACTCACGTATCCCCGATGGACTAGAGAGCTGTGCAGTTGGGGAATAAAGTTCATCGGCCAAATTAACCGTCGCCAGAATCTATTACATCAGTCTTCGCACTGTGTGTATGATACGATGTCCATGCTTCATGTAGTTTGCTGGCCTAGGTTTCACACACCGGCATATTTATCTGCCTAATGGTCAAACAAATCGATGATTCCGGCCAGCTTAATATTACGAGGCATACCAAATCCCGTCGCATTCTTCTGGTTTCTGTGTTTCCGCCCATAAAGAGAAACCAATGGTATTCAGCTAACTTTTTCAATTATATCATTCATGTACACATTCAGCTGCCTACCAGTGGTTTCTTCCCCACAGTCAGTAGTTCGTGAAAAAAGAGTTCTACTTCACTGCATTGGCATTCCAACAAGTAGCCTGTGAATATCACATTACGTACTCCCAATGAGCCCGTACAGATCATTGCTACTATTTCCCTTCGTCACCCATGTATCATCCTGACTAATATGTGAATGGCCACCTCCATATGCCGTCCGAACCATCAGTTCCCCTCAGACCCATTTTCGCAGCAGACGATTTGTTATTCTTCAACATTCTGTGATTTATTTCTACTTTGATATTTGTTCTTGAATCCTTGAACAAACTTTACTGCTTACTGACTCCGTTTGCCAGGTTTCGCTACTGAAATACTTGTAAGTTGGTGGAAAATCGAAGCCAAGTGGTTCGTGTACGGACAAACCGATATTTGTGCATCTTTGCTTTTGATAACTCAGTAGAATCTTGTGCTTACTTCATCAGAATCAAGTCATACTTGTGTATATATGAACCGCCTGACCGGTAATGGCTGACAGATTTGTCGATTAGAATCCTGTCTAAATCTGCTATCGTATTGGGGCATGAATACACGCTTAGGTTAACAAGGAGCACAGAGAGTGCCATAATATTCGCATGTAAATGGGCAATTTAGGATAAATATTGACGTGTCTAAAATCCTGAATAAATATCTGCTAATCACAAACAGCTAGTTAATGAAAGCAGTCACGGGGTTCACCAAACCAATGGTTGACGCAAATCATGAAGTAACTTTCACAATTTTGCTTACCAATAAAATAGATTCAATAGCTGACTTACGGTTGAAAGTCATTGCGTAATTACTTTAAAAAATAAGGTTGTGGAAAGTAATTAATTGGAAACTACACCGCGAAAAGGAATGAATCGGACTGAATCCAGAATTAATTGATGGCAATCGCAGTAGTCAAACATGGATATCTAAGCTTTCTCGTTTTAATTTGCTACATAATTTGAAGGCATTCTACAGCTGAGATTTTTCGGACTTTCACTAAAATTTATAGTAACTGCATCGATCCTCTGTTCATATTCACACTAGTAGCGAGTGCAGATAATTTCATTAACAATAATCATATGACATACATAAGTAGAGAAAAGCAGGGTTTTTTAACAGGTCCAGTAACATCGAAGTGGAGGCGGAATAGATAAGGCCTTGGCACTAGACCAATACGCATTACGGAAGCTTCGCTGCCGCGCTAACAAAAGCATCCACTCAAGGGCTAAGCATAATCTGATGGTCACCCGGCAGAATCCGCGACCTCCAGATTACAATGCCGGCTTATTATCGTGTAGTCCACTAGCCGGCCGAGGCGAGATATTAATAATTTGTAAAGGCTTCTCCATCATTTTGAAAATCGAATCAAAGACGATTTGTCAGATGATGAACAATGTCCGACCTACAACATTGAATGAACTTGCAATAGAAAACCGCAACTTTTAGTTAGGACGCTGCAGGCGTTGTGTCATTAGGTAAAAGCGTAGTTTTAGTTATTAATTTATTTCTTATCTTTCGGCATCATGTTAAATGACGGAAATAACTTCTGAGCAGATACTACATTCATGTGCTTCAGTGAGTTGATTTACGCTGGCACTGCACATAGTCAATTTACGATAGCTTGTAATATCGATACCTAGGAAGCGATAAAAATTAGGTAGTCTTGGACAAATATACTCTCCTAATGCAATATGCATAGTTTCCTGGCTAGGATGTACACACTATAGCCTCCTGCTACTAAGCCCTATAGGTGAATACTACAATTTTTATTTAACCTTATTCCCAGACACTGAGTTGACTAACATCAATGCTTACTGCTTGGTAGTTCACGAAGTGCACTTTAACTGGTTCTCTTAGCTTTAACCATCCAAAATGTTCAGCATGTACTAGACACGTTGTATAATGGACCAAGAATTTAGTTAAGTGGAAATAATTCACATGCTAACAAATTACTGTTTACTTTCACAGTTCCTCTATCCTATCAACTCATTGGTTGGGAAACCGAAGTGGACACGCGATTTTGCATCATCTTATTACTGTATCGCATCACACGTCTAACTAATGTATAATAGAGAGGGTATCATCATCATTATATACGTTAGCTATAGCTGTAAAGCACCTCAAGTACTGTGCCACGATAATAAAAGTAAAAGAAAATAAATACCACAGTAGCATGCCAGCTGAGCTACCGACAACGGAGGGGCATCGATTCAGAAAGCTAACAGCCGGTAACTAGGCAACAAAAAAGGATTATATAAAATTATATTATGCTACGAAATGAGATCGTGGTTAAATGGTGAGGCTAAATGGGATGGGGAGGAAAAATGAAACGCACAGCAGGAACGCGACTGAGGTCGGATCCTATCTATGTAGCATGTGTATCTATGCAAACATGTTCATCTTCATTTGAACCCCAACCAGAGAGCAGTGAAGCTCCAACCGAGGCCAGCACAGAGGTGAGGACCTTCGTTCCTCTAGGCCAATTCATTGCTTGACCACTCCTCCTGTTCTTCCATCTACACCCCCGGCGCGCAAAAAATGCACGTCGCGGGAGTCGGTGGGCTGGCATGCGCAATACGTGGCCGAACCATCGGAGCCTGATGCGTAAAATGGTAGTGCTGAGCTGTTAAGTTCCTTTCCCTGTACCGTAAACAAGGAATCGAACAAGCTATTTGCTCACTCGGTGTTCCCACCAGAATTGACCTAAATTGCGAAGGCACCGATGATCGAAAGTAACTGGCCTCTTTATGCCCGCTGATCTAAAAGGCCAGGTTTCACGACCGTACAGTAAGGTCGAACATACCGCTGCATTGTACACATTTCCCTTCAGGGCGAGAGTGATGTCGCGCCGCCGCCATAGATGGCGAAGACTAGCAAAAGCACTTCGAGCTTTTGTTATACGTTTCGTGATCTCATATTTAATCCCAAGGGCACTGATACCACTTCCCATGTAGTTGAATTTCTGTATGACTTCTAGCTGATCTCCACCAAGCGTCAGCGCAAAAAGTCATCCCTAGCAATCCTGGAAGAAAGCTTTGCAGTTCGATAGTGCAAAGCAAAGCCCGAAGCGGCTGACAGCCAGTGCTAATCTCTCCAGTGCCTTTTGGCACGTCTGGGAGCTGCCACAGAGGAGGGCAATGTTGTCTGCGTACTCCAGGTCAAGAAGTGGTTCTCCCGGTGGTAGCTCCACCCCTTCCAAGTCGTGTCCTGTAAATGCGATCTCCATGACTTCGTCAATAGTGAAGTTGAATAGGAAAAGTGACAACGGGCATTCTTTTATCACACCGCGGGAGATATTGAAGGGGGCGACAGCTTGCCGTAAGCCCTCACTGCCCGTGCTATGCGAGTATTATGCTCGGATAATATTTACATATTTCTCGGGCACACCTTTCCTGAGTAGACAGTTCCAAAGGACACATCAATCAACCCAATCAAAGGCACCTTTAACGTCGAGGAGCACGACTACGGTCAGCCGCCAATTTGTGTGACGGTGCTCCAACAACTGACGCAAGGTTAAGATGTGGTCGATGAAGCCGCGACCCTGACAAAACGCTTTTTGATCCTCACGAATCTGGTTTTCACGAGCGCCAGTCAGTCTGTGAAGGAATACATAGGCAAGTAACTTGGAAGCGATAGGGATCAGACGGATTTCTCTATGGTTTCTGCATTCCGAACGCGAGCCTGCTTTGAAGATGGGAACAATAACGGAGCGGCTCCAGTCGGTTGGGACAGTTTTTGTTCCCACAGATTTACTAATAATTTGTGTAAATCACCAAGAGCAGAGTCCCCAAATTTGAAGAGGGTTTGCTGAAGATCATCCGATCCCGCGGCCTTATTCAACTTTAACAGTCCGATCTGAAATTTGACTTCTGAGCGAAAGGGCGGTTCCAAATAAACAGCCCACGGAGAAGGGCGATCACTGGCCGGTGAAGAATTAAACAATTCCGGCCGATTAAATTGCTTTTTGAAATGCTCAGCCGAGTGCTCTAAACGTTTGACGGATTGTGGATGGGCAGTCCACTGTCGTCACAAATTATTTCACTAACACTAGGTCTTGCGCTGCCCGTTTCCCTATCAGTCAGAATAACTTTCGGTGTTTACCAAGGACAGCGGTCACTTCCATCTCTGATGCATGATGAGCACCAGGATCCCTGGTCTCCCCTTAGACTGGCACGGAGTTTTAATAGGAGCTGTTAGCGAGTTCTGTTGTGTTCGCTTCAAATGGCGGCGAGCATCGGTGAGTTCTAGTGACCGCGAAGAGACCCAATGTCCATGTTGGCTATTAGACTAACCACAGGAGGATTTGCCTGCTGCCAGTAAGATCTGGTGAATATGCGACCAGTGAACTTCAATTGTCTCCAGTGAGCGCTTACTCAACTCGTATGTCAGCGTACTTTGATAAGTTTTCAATACAGCTAGCTTGGTCAGTTGGCTGGTGCCAATGCGCTCACAGCGTCGTCGTGGGTGTCCACCAAAATGCATCCGCAGCTCAGCACATAAAAGCGCATGGTCGGTGTCCACACATGTGCTCAAAATCTAACGAGAGTTTTGGACGCAGCCTCACCAGCGGTAAATGATTGCAATGTGATCGATCTGCGTTCAAAGCTGGTTCGGTGCTGGTGGGCGCCAAGTCACCCTCCGGCGAGTGCTGTGTCGGAAATTAGTGCTGGCAAGAAATAAGCAGGCATCTTCACATAAATAAAGTAACCGCGCACCTTTATCATTACGGGCGCCTACACGGTGCTGACCCCCCAGATAAATTCCATCAGTGGAAAACTTTCCTACTTGTGCGTTCAGATCCCCAGCCAGCACAACAGCGTCCGGGCTTCTTCTGTGACGAAGGATCTCGGTCAGTTGAGGGTAGGAGTCGTTTTTTACCGATTCATCTCTAGAGTTTGTCGGCGCGTAGGCAGCGATGATGAATAGACACGTATTAGTACCGCAGGACTTCGAAGCTTTGCATGAGCCAGCCAATCAGACTGCATACATCCGGCTACTGATTGGAATCCAATCAACCAGAGCAGCTTCAACCCGGGGACTCAGGGCAATGCCAACACCAGCTTGGCCGGTGCTCGAAGCTGCATCGTCCCCGGATAAACGCAATAAGAAAATACTACTGGAGTCACATGAATGGGATCGCAGAGTGAGAACAGGGCTCGAGTCTTGCAGGTGGATCTCCGATAAGCAGCAAATATCGACGAGAGGGTCTCTGATGTTCGGGCAAGTGCTGCCTGTTGACCGATCTGTAGCGATGTGCGTACATTGAAGCAGGCCGATCCAAAGGAGGATTGAGGGCTCCAAATGGAAGCCGATGGGCTGCGGTGGACCGCTTGGTTAGAGATGGACTAGTCGACAGGATAGAAGTGACCTTCGCGTTAGCAAGTGATTTGGATCTAGAAGATTAAAGCCTAGCAAAGCATGTTGGGGAAGATTCAAGAATCGTGGGTAGAACACTGACGGAAAAAAATGAAGTTTTAGCGGGACCATAAGAGAAAAGCTAAGAAAAGGAATAAGAAGACGGAAAGGATTGAGCAGTAGCTTCCAAACCTTTATCCACCCTGCAGCAGTTAGGGCACCGT